TCCCGCTGCAGAGCCTTCCGTCCTCTCCTCAGGTAGGACGGAGATGGCAGCTCTCATCTGAGCCCGTCAGGACCCCTTACCTGAAGCAAAGGCTGGAGCGACTCATTACGCACAATTTCTGTCTTCTAGCAACTGTTGAAGAGAATATAGGCAAGCGGACGCAGAGAAACATGGACAAAAATGGTGCCAGTAGACAACAGCAGATGTTATGATGCCATACATGATGTCATGGTGTTAATTCTGCCTTTAGTAAACTGGCTGTTTTCCTGTGTCTTCCACCATACGCTGCAGAGAGTGGAGACTGAACTTGGTGGCTGTCCTGGTTTCGGCTGAGATGATGGAGTTAATTTTCTTTCTAGTAGAAGTGTTTTGGATTTAGGATGAGAATAATGTTGATAACACACTGATGTTTTCAGTTGTTGCTAGGCAGTTGCAGTGCCTACACTAAGTGAAGGACTTTTCAGCTTCTCACCGTGCCCTGCCAGGTGCACAAGGAGCTGGGAGAGCACAGCCAGGACAGCTGGCCCAGGCTGGCCAGAGGGATGTTCCCTGCCATGGAACGGCATGATCCAGATAGAACTGGGGAGGCAAGCTGGGAGGTGGGATTGCTGCTCAGAAACAGACTGGGCATCGGGTTGTTTTATTTTCTTTTTGCATGCAGTGAACAATTGCATTTGTGCATCACTTGTATTATTGTTGTTGTTGTTGTTATTGTTGTTATTATTATTCTCTCCCTTTGTTATCCTATTAAACAGTCTTTATTTCAACCCACAAGTTCTTTTTTTCCATTCGGGGGGAAAGTGAGCGAGTGGCTGCCTGCTGCTTAGTTACCGGCTAGGGTTAAACCACGACAGTGGCCAAAAGCCTTTGGGTGTGCTGGCAGGTGAGATCTTGCCTCCTGTTGTGGTTTAACCCGCAGGCAGCTGAAACAACCACCCAGCTGTTTGCTCACTTCCTGCTCCCCCAGTGGGATGGGGGAGAGAATTAGAAAAAAAAAAAAAGGTAAAACTTGTGGGTTGAGATAAAGACAATTTTGTGTGATGGAAAAGGAAGATAATAATAATAGGATATACAAAACAACTGATGCACAGAACAGTTGCTCACCACCTGCAGACCACCGATGCCCAGCTAGTTCTTGAGCCTCGGTCTAAACCCCTGGCTGGCCTCCCCCAAGTATATACTGAGCATGACGTCATATGGTATGGAATATCCCTTTGGCCAGTTTGGGTCAGCTCTCCTGGCCATGTTCTGTCCCAGCTTCTTGTGCATACCCAGCCCTCTCGCTGGTGGGGCAGTATGAGAAGCTGAATAGTCCCTGACTTGGTGTAAACCTTGCCTAGCAACAACCAAAATACCAGTGTGTTACCAGCATTATTCTCATCCTAAATCCAAAACACAGCAGTATACCCTATACTAGTAAGAAAATGAACTCTATCTCAGCCAAAACCAGGACACCCCATTACTGCCCTTGGTAACTGGGCCTCCCCCTGTGACATTGCTGCTCTTCATCGGAGAAACCAACACTTGTGGGGGCTTTCCATTGAGGGCTTCTGTGTTGGGATCTGCCATTGTCAACCATGTCCGTATCTCAAGATCTAGGCTTGCCCAAGTAGTTGTAGTACTGGCTTAAAACCTGGGAAATTTGGTGTATACTCATATGTAGTCGTAGGATCTTTATCTGTGTCTGATTTCCGAGTTTGGGGGGCTGTGAGTGTGTGTGTGTGTTCACTTTCAAACAATCTTGCAACCAAATAGGCTGGGAAGTTACTTCATTGCAAACAAAAGTTGAGTTTCTAAGGTGGTCACTAGTCTTTCAGTTCAACCTTTTCCTTTTTTCTCCCCCAAATATGAGGTTGTAGGTAAAACTGTGAAACTTGGAACACCTTTGTTGCTTTCAGTGGCTCAGAGGGTAAAGCCACAGGATCTTAATTTGAAATTTGATCTGTTATTTTTTGTTCTTCCTCTAGTGATACTTGTATATCAGTTTCCTAGAAGCATTTGTTCTTTCACTATAAGCATTTAATTAGTAGTTCTCTTCTTACCTGTTCCTCTACATATTTTTAAATTTTATCTCTATCAAAAAAAACCCCAACCAACTTGTTTTGAAAAGTGCTTGCTGCAAAATCTGCACGGTGGCTTTCTCCCAGGATGCTGTTCACTTTTATTAACAGCTGCCAACTGTTGCACCTGGATGATACGCTGCTCTTAATTACATGAACCAAGGGAATGAAATGAGGGTGTTTCTGCAGCCTGAATTTTGACATCTCCTTACTTCTAAGTGTTTGCTTTCACAGCTTTGACACTATTCTCAGAGAGGTTTGTGTGTGCACAGATGCATAATTTGTATCTAAGCTACTAAACATATGCTTTTGTTAACGTACGATAATTCAGAAAATTATTTGAAGGACAGTATCATGCTTGCGATGGCATCAGTGAGGACTTGGCTGGAAGCAGGACCAGAAGGTTGGTTGCTGTGTCAGCACAGGATTCCCTGATACGTGTTATGGAGCGTGTGAGAATTTAGGCGTAAAGCAGAATAAATGCCAAACTGCTGATGTGCACCTACCTGCTCAGGTTGCTATATGATCACCTGCTAACAGTTTGTTCATCTGGAGAATAACTAGTTGCGTCAGGCACTTGTTACAAAGCCACGCTCTTTTCTCTATCTTTTTCTATGTTGCATGCTGGGCATAAGCAGGAATAGGCTTTAATAGGCAAGAGAGCCTGTTCATCGGTGCAGCCTGTCTTCTAGGAAGATTGCTTTAATATTTTTCAGCTGTAGCTTGCAACTTGTTCTGCAATGAGCTGAATTAATGCACATGTGGCAGTTGCTTATCCACTTGAGATAATCTGCTTTCAAGTTTGCATTCAGCAGTTTCAAGGATGTCACTAACAGTGCATGTCAGCAATGTGCTGCTTTTCGTATAGACTGTTATAATTTTAGTGGCATATGCAGGATTGAGGGAAGCCGAGTGTTTAGGTTGAATTGACACCAGGTGTAGTTCTTATGCAACGCTCACATCTGGATCCTTGTATTTGTTGTACTTGCAAGTTTTGTATTTTTAACATATTTAACAATGCGTAAAGCTGTGTGCCTGTTTTTCTAGGCATGTGTTACCTATAAATGTCTTGGTAATTAAAACACGTCTTGCTTTCTACATCTTGCAGTTTGCCGTATCTCCTTTTGCACCAGTGAGCTGGAGAATGCTGCCGTAGCTTCATGCATTCCAGTGGACGTAACACATTAGGCATCTTTGCCCCTCTGCCCTCGGGAGTTGTTTGTTAGCCTGCACTCGGGGAAAATGGAGGTTATTAATGAGCAGCACTTACCCTTCACAAGGATATAACCCCTGAAGGAAAGCAGTTGTGAGAATCTTCTGGTGACTGAGTTGTAATAGTCTGTCTAAAATCGAGCTCTTGTGTTGTATGAACAACAGTATAAAAATGAGCTGAGAGTTTACTGCTGACTACGCTACTCTTCAAGGTTTTGGAGAAGCATCTAAAGCTGTCCAAAGCCAATGATTGGGTAGATACCGGACAGAAGAAGAATTAAGGTGGATTGCTGTGTTGGTGCTCACCTAGCAGCACGGGATATGACTGAGCCAAAGCAAACCAGTACTGGCTAGATTCAGACCATCTCGAGTACTCTTCTGCTTGCCATATAGCCACAATTTGCATTACTCCCATTCCAGATTGGCTTAGCTGTTATTTTCAGATAAGACAAAGAGCCAAAAACCCAAACCTCTTGACTCAGTGGCTCTGTGAAACTTCTGTTGTGCTTCCCCCATGGGTTGTTTGTTGGCTGATCTCCTTGAGGGTATGAATCTCGTGGTGCCACTGTCTTTGGTGGGCTGATGGAGGTCATGCTGATAAAGAGAACCGGGTAGATTTTTTTCCAGTAAGCTTTACTGGAGTGAGAGAGAAGCCACCATCATGAGCATGGCTCTGGGGCCCTCACTACGGTGGAGGTACCTGTTTCTAAGCTGATGAGGTGAATCACTGCCAAACCTGTGTGTTGATCTGTGTTTAGCACCAGTGCTTGCAGGGAGCAGGATCAAACCTCATCTTCACAGAAAGAGTCTGGGAGGAGTTACCGTGGCCCCCCAAGGAGACCACCTGCAAAAAATGAACAGAAAGCTGATGCTGCTCTGACCAAAGTCTGCTTTGCTGTCAATGCTTTACTCTAGTATTGCACTGCCGAGCTCTAGGTCCATCACCTTTAATGCTCAGCCCAACAGACTACTTCTCATTTGCAGTGCAAGATCAGTGCTACTAGTGCTAAAAGAAAAATCATTGCAACAAAGAGAACTAAAAAAAGATAAGTTATATATAATAAAGTTCCTTTGCTCTCTGCCTGTTGTGGAAGATTGTCATGGAAACATTTTTTTTTTCCCAGAGAATAAATTTATTTTCTGTGAATAATGTCCACAGAGCTAAGGGAGAGAACATATTATTTATATATAAAAACTTTACTGGAGACACCTTTTTCTCGGCTCCCAACAGTTGTACATGTTTCATCTACTCTGTTTTAAATCACTACAAAGGAGGGTATTACCTCGGTCTCAAAAGCAGTACTCTTGGATTTTTGTTTGTTTGGGGGTTTTTTTCTTCCTTAAAGCCATAAAGCTATATTGGTATTAAAGCGTTTTAAATCAGGAACACTTAGTCTTCCATAAGTCTAGTCATGTGTTTGATCAATAAAATGTGAAACGGGGACTGTTTAATATGAAACACATTACGAATCTGTGATCAGGAAAATGGGAAGCGGCATTAGCCGCTAGGTTTCTCCTGTAGGGATCGATGTTGGAGGAATGTCATTTGGAATCACTCCTCTGCTTTTGCTTCCCCACACGTAACCTGAGATCTTCATCCATCTCACTGTGACAGAAGAAGGCAAGTTATGGTTTATCAGAAACAGCTGGATGGGATACGGTTCACTCGCATCAACTGTGCCTTGCTGTGCCTCTTGTGCTTCTTGTGACTGCTTCTTGTCCTGATAGCTTATTAGGACCAGGTCTGGGTGGAGAGCACCTCTGTTTTCCACCAGTTGTCACGCCGGCCTCCTCCGGGAGGAGTTGCGAGTAGCCATCAACTTCCGTCGATGTCAAGTAAGGGCCTTGCTGGTCTGAACAGGTTTTCCATCTGACTGCACGTCAGGGTCCCCACGCGCTTGTGTCACGGGCTCTGAAAAATGTCTTTCCTGTTTGCTGATTATACCTTGAGTTCTAAGAGTTTTCATATTAAGTGCTGGACGGTGTTTCAGCGTGTCAGTCTTACCTTATGAGCTGGGGTCAAAAAGCCCTTTTCTGAAAAACAACTAATATTTGGAAAGTGATACTGGAGGAATATTTTACATGTCAATGGCAAGGCAAACCCATCTGTCCCAGGCATTTAGACACATGCTTTCTCCTTGCAAGGGATGTCTCTGGCCCAGAGGCTGGTTTTGACAAGCTCATAAGGATTTCTTTTGGAACCTCTTTAGAGCGTCCTCATGTATCTCTGAGTCTGGCTTTCCGCCGCCACTACTTCCATCAGTCTCTGCGTAATCTCTCTTGACTTGTGTAGATATCTTCAGAGGCCAAGGAGGTAAAAATGTGCTCCTCTCTCTCAGGGAATGCAGTTATGGCTACCCCATTAATTAGTTTACCAAGAGAGCATTGAAAGGTCACTGGAATTAATTTCTTTCCGCCAAAGGCGAGATAGATCCCCTCCATGACCCACTTAAGACAAGCCATGCGTTCCTTCCCATGGATGGGGCTGTGCTGTAGCCGCGCAGGTTCCTGCTTCCCAGGCTGGGCTCTGACCCTGTGGCACCCGTGCCTTGTACAAATCCTGATGCTTTGGACCTATAACACCAAGTTAAAACATAATTCGTGGGAGGTTTTTTTTCAGAGCGGCTGGGTAGGGGCAGAATTGTGGCACTCCCCTTGCTTCAAAACCATCTTCTGCTGCTCACTGTGTTCTAAAGATCTGGCCGTTTCAGGTGGCAGAGACTCTAGCAGATAAGAATAGGTCTGTCTGTCAGCTGTTTGAAAAGGGAGTGAAGCGGAAGATGAGAGGGAAGGGGGCAGCCGGCTTTGTGGAAACAGCGAAGCGGAAGTATGTCCAGGAGAGGATAACAATAGTTGCCCATGAAGTATGGCATGAAGTTACCCAAAAATAAAATGTGAAGTAAAAAGCATGTTGAAGAGAAATACAGCCAAGAATGGCTCTCCTCCAGTGAAGCTGAGCTGCTCTATGGAAATGGACCACATTGGACAAGGCATTAGTCGTGTGTTAAATCAGCAATTACCTCTGCTTCCTGACTGAAGTAAGAGTAAAGGGAAGGAAGAACTGCAGAAGTACGGGGAATGCCGTACCACATGGAAGGGTGCTAAGGTAGAGCGTGAGGAAGCCCCAAGGAGCCTGTGCACACAGCCTTGCAATATTGGCAGCCTTAAAACCTTCATGTGGTCTGCCCTTGCATAACAGGAGCAACCCCATAATATGTCCTTACAAACACCGGTGGCTTGACACATGAAAACTCCGTCTCCGCATGGAAACGCTACTTTAACTGTGCCGATACAGTTGGCAGCAGAGCTGGGGGTGAGTTGGGCTGTCTGCAGCAGCATCGGTACTTGCATGACTCCTCGTGACACTTCATGTCTTCTGCTCTGGGGAGCTTCAGGAAGGATGTCAGAGAGAGCTTGCAAAATTTACATCCCTTGATAGGACTGCTGACGGCTCCCAGAGCGTCTTGCCTAGGTCAACCCCCATCCTCCTGCATTGTGCCTTGTCCCCTGCAGCTCTCTGCAGGGACCAGAGACTCTTTGCATATGTACAGGCGCTGAAGCCCAAAGGGATCACAGCAATCATCCAGCCTGACTTCCTACAGAAGGCAAGCCTCAGTATTCTCTTCAGGAATATCTGTATTGATGTTTTGTTGAGCTATTGCATGCTTTTAAGAGAGGGAGGAAAAATGCAAAATCTACATTCATCTTTGTAAGATAAGATGTTTCTATCATTACTTCACTGCACCTAAAAAAACGTGGATCGTGTTTATAGCCTGAGTTTGCCCAAATTACCTTTTGGGAAGTTAATTTTTATTTTATTAGATTAAAGAACTTTCTGTTATCAGAAGTCTTTTCCTCGTGTAGGTACTTGCAGAAAATCATCAAGTCAGTGCTTAACATTCTCCTAATTAAATATTTTGAGCTTCAGTCAGTTACTACAACAAACAGTTCTTGGACCTCAGACTGTTCCTTTTCAGAACTCTTTCCAAATTTTTAAGATCATTCTTTAATTAGTGGCACCAGAACTGGATACGGTAATGTAATAATAGTCCCCAGTGCCTTGGACAGGTGTAATTAATACCTTTTCTTACTTTAACAAATACGTCCGGCTTATGCTTTGAGGGATTATGTTTAAGTTGGCTGTGGCATCAAGAGGGCTTATGTTCATTTGCTTATCTAAAGTACTCCCGAATCCTTTTCTGCATTGCTGGATACTGTCGTCTTTGGGTTGTAGGTAATGGTAAGATTTTTCTTTTTATCCCCTGGCGATTTGATTCTTTCAGTTCAAGCTACCTTGAATCTGAAGTATTTGAGTGAGCATACTCAGAGCTACTTTCTTATTTAGAAGAGTTTATATTTCTTCGGGGGCTGATTTCAAGCTTTCCTGACTGTGTCTAGTCTGCCAACAGAGAGAGTGGCCTCCTGCCTACTGAGACATTTATCCTGTACTCGTCTCTACAGCAGCTGGTTTTATGTATTGCTAAGCTGAAAACTCTTGGCTTACACTGTCAGAGACTCAGAAGAAAAGAGAATACTTCAACAGTAGTGACTCCTCTCTACCTTTTCTGATTGCTGATTTTACTAATGTCAGAGCAAATACAAAAGAAAAACTACATATTCAGCTGTCTGACAAAAAGCAGGTACAAAAACTATCAACGACTGAACATTGCCGCTCAAGTGTGAAGCAAAGAGACGATACTGCTTGTTTAAGAAAACCTTAATGCCTCTCTAATTGTATAGCTACTGAGCAGCCTCAGAATCACAGAATGGTTTGGGTTGGCAGGGACCTTAAAGACCATCTAGTTCCAACCCCCCTGCTATGGGCAGGGACACCCTCCACTAGACCAGGTTGCCCAAAGCCCCATCCAACCTGGCCTTGAACACTTCCAGGGAGGGGGCATCCACAGCTTCTCTGGGCAACCTGTTCCAGTGCCTCACCAACCTCACAGTGAAGAATTTCTTCCTAATATCTAGTCTAAACCTACCCTCCTTCAGATTAAGGCCATTACCCCTTGCCCTATCACTACGCTCCCTGATAAACAGTCTCTCTCCACCTTTCACAGTGCATACATGTGCACGTGCATGCACATGTTTAACTCAACCTCTGTCCCTCCATTCCATTCGTAGCAAGCATACAAGGCAAATATGAAAGGTATCAGATGGCCATCACTGAATGGTTGTCCTTTTCTATCCTTGATAAATAGGACAGGCCTTATTCTTCTGGAAGAGTCTGCCTTTACACATTGCTGTGGGTTTGGACGATTGCTGGCTTCCTTGAAGTGAATGGCTAAGCTGTAAGCAGAATGTTTAGCAAGTGGTTACCTTCTTGTGATACTCTCAGAAGTGCTCTGTGTTCTTCTTTGAAAGCAGTTCTTGAAAGGTGAACGGGATTCTAACATTTGTTAGGGAACTGGGAAGCCAAGCAGGATAGCTGAAGGGAGTCCCACCAAAATGCCACCCTGGGAGCCTCTTCAGACAGTTTCTCTGTATTGGGTGGTATGGGCCACAAGGTAATTTGGCAAATGCTTAACATCAAGTGTGTTACCTTTCTTATGGTTTCACTGTGTTCAGTCGCATGGTGGAAGTTAAGTTTGCGTTTCTGTGGTGGTGTCTTGACTCATCTGTGTCTGACAGTCCTAACGGAAGAGCTGTGATTTCTCTCTATCCTGAGCGGGGACATGTGTGGTCCTTGCTGAAGGTGTACAGTTTACTGATTTCTGGTATGTGTTTGCTTGGATGATCCGTTTCTTTAATGTTTTATTTCTTAAGATACTGGAACTTGCTATATAAAAAAAAATTAAATCTTTTGCTGTACTATAAAAATTGCTAAGCTGTAACAGCTAAAGGAAAGGATAAACACTACCCAGTGAATGAAGTTGGCATTTTCTAATCCTTGGATTCAGTTGTAAAAAACAGCTTGTTATATGCCTGGCTGGTTGGTTGCCCAAACTGAGGTACTCTTGAAGGGATTGCTTTCAGGACTGTGCTGACAATTGCGCAGGCTTCAAAGTTAGGTCTGTTTAATATGATTTGAATTGGCCACCCAAAATCACCAGCCGGTTTTGAAAACTAAGCTCAGATTTTTGTGGTGAGAACAGTGGTAAATGCAAAGCAAGCTACAAGTGATGCCAGAAAGCTATCACTGAAAGGAAGGAAGAAAAGAAAATGAATTCATTGCATGAGCCTTCTTAGGCATTTCAAAAAAGAGCTGGAGATGGGCTTGCACTAACAATGGCTATAAAATATCTACGTGGTCTGGCTCATCGTCTCGTTCTCCTGGCTAAGCTTAAACCAGACAGTAAAGGTTTGTGGATTTAGGTGTAGAAGTCCAGGTCTCGGGTCTTCCCATTGACTGTACCCCCAGCTGCACCCTGTAGCCTGTGGCTCTGAACTTCATCTGAATGGTCAGGGTGCATCAGGCCTCCAATGGCCCGTGGCCCAGGACGGTGCTGAGAGTCGGTGCTGCTGCCTGGCTTGGCATCATCTCCAGCAGGTCTGCTGGAAGTACACTCTGGCAAAAAAAGAGGAGGAGAAAAAAAAAAAGGAGGAGAAAAAAAAAAAGGCAGGGGGTTGTCCCTCTAATAGTTGAATAGTCCCTCCAATAGTTGAAGTTGCTTGTCTTGTGTTATGTTGGTCTCCTGGCCAAATCCCATGGTGCTTGCTGGATTCTTATTCAGTCCAGTTTCCTCTCAATTCAGCTGGAGCTCCCTTTGGCAGAGGTCTGCAGTAACTGAGTTCCTCTTATTTAAAGTTAGGAGAGAATTTGCAGAAGGAAGCAATTCAAGTGGTTGGGTAAGTGGAGAAAACTCTTAAATAAAAATCCTCAAAATGTCATACCCTGATTTTGCAAGGCCACGTGCAATCTTCTCTTCTCTGTAAAGTTAAACACGTTATAACATTATTTGCCAGGCAGGGTCATTACTGTGAAGCTGTTTTTCTAGGTGTTACTGCAAGCGTCTGACGTGAGTGTTGTTCAAGACCTCTTGACTTTGACTCGGCAAACAGGCCATTGAGAAAACCCGTTTTCTGGCAAACAGGAAAGCTTGCTGCCATTGAGGTGCTTCCTTCTGCCAAGAGACGGCCTGTGCAAAGACATCCGATCTGGCAAGCAAGAAGCCGGAGGCTGAACTCAGACCTGGGTTCCCAGAGTGCTAATGTACCGTGTGACTGAAGTTGCTGCTGGTCAGACGGTTACTTGCTTTTTATTCAAGTGGAATCGTGGTGTGTCTTAACTGGTTGAAGCTTGAGATCCACCAGGGAAAGTTAGGTCGAGGAATAAATGTTTTTACTATAAAACCATGGCTTGAATAAAGGTCTGTGCAGCTGGGGGACGGGACGGGGGACGACACACAACCAAAAACCAGAAACCTGATTTCCTTCCATCAATTTTGTATGCAGTTGAAAATAGGTTCTACAGCAGGCTTGGATCTGCCCTTCCCCCCCAATATTATTATGTTTTTGTGTTTAGCTTCATCCTGGTATCCAACATTTGGTTTCCCATCAGCAGTACACTGCAGGCATACCATGCCTTGGATTTCTTATTGAAGCACAACAGAAGCTGAAAAATACAAAATTTCAAAGCAAGTTTCCATCACTGAAGAGTATTTACGGAGGGTTGGTCCAAAGAAAAAAAAAAAATGTCTCAGACAGAGCCACACTCTGACAAAACGACACTGCTGCGGAGCAGTCGGGCAATGATCTGAGTAGACCTTTGCATGTCCGCTGGGTAAGCAAACATCTTTCCCTCACTGACAAAAGCACTACTTCTTGACCTGTGATTTTTCCAAATGTCACTGTCAGGGTTATAAATAGCCAGCAGAAGGGGAGGGCGAGAAGACGACTTTGACATCTGCCCACTGAGCACCTGGAGGTTCCTCCTGCCTGGCACAGCAGACCCATCACCGGCTCCGTGGGCTCAGCGTGCTGCTGGGGTGCAGGTCTGGGGAACTGCCCACCGCAAAACGTGCCTCTTGCACGGACATACAGATGCTACACTGGGGCACGCTCAGGATGTGTGTGAGCCACCTTCCATGCTTTGTTGCAGCTTTAGAGTTCGAGGCACGACTGTTTGCAAAGAGGATGCAAAATGTGTTTTCTGTGGATGCAGCAGCGATCTAGCAACCGAAGCCCTGGCTCCCAGATCTCTTCAGCCAACGTTTGGTCCTTTAAGCTAGCTCTTCTTGCTTTTTCTCAGGGCCTTGCTGTGACTGTTTTTGTGCAGTTTGATGCCGGTGAGCTCCACCCTCCCCGCCTCTCTCTTGCAAATTCACAAACCCTCCTGAAGCACTAGCTGGCAAAAATCTTCCACCCGTGTGTGTCAAACACGTGCCTTTGTTTGGGTGATGACACGTGCCTGTATTTGCTGATGGTGTTTTAGCTGCTTGGTTCTGTAAGCAATGTCACCGTCTCCTCCAAGGATCTGTGGAGAAGAGTGGTGCTTGCACTTCCCCCTCACCTCCGCTCCACTATGCTTTAGCCCAACCTGAACTATTTTAGTGCAATGATCGAGAGAAGCAGCAATTGCTCATATGATGTGTCACACCATAAACTTCAGGAAAGTAATTCATTCCAACGGTATAATTGTAGGACTCGGGAACCAAAAATATGGTCTATTACTCATCTTTGTAGCTCATGACACAGAATAACCTAAACCATTTATTTATTTACACAGCAAAGGTTTAGCCAAAAGCAAAGTGTTGAATGTCAAGAGCCACTGTTCCTACATATTCAGAGTAATTACTTGCTTTGTCATTTATTTTTTATTTCTGTGCCAATATTGGTCAAGAGTTCAAGTCAGGAGATAGGCACGATGCAGAGACAAAGAGCCCCTACTTAAAACTTGGGAGAGCAAAACCGAATAACTGGTACGTCTTGAGTAGGTTATGAAAGCTCGAATGTGTTTGTTTTATGGTTACCTAACATCTACAGTATTTTCTCTACTGAATGATTTTTCCTTCTGCATGAATGAAAGTTTCAGGTGTATGCACACACATATACACGTACAGGAGGCTGTGTATATTAAATGCATTGGGGCACATTTGATCTTCATTTACCTTGGTCTAACTCTGGATGAACTCAAAATCAGGGATATTGAACTAAGTCAACCCTGGAGTAACTGAATGCAGAGTTTGATCCCTAAATTTCCTCTGTATGCTTCAGAGAAAATTGTAAATCAGAGGAAAATCCAAGAAACCCAAACAAGCTAAAAAAAAAACCTGACAGGGACTCTGCTTGAGAGTGCTCACCCCTTTGCACAACCCTTGTACTGTGGGGTGCATTTCATTTAGTCAAGCAGAGCGATCCTACAAGAAAGCAAAAGCAACAAGAGCAGTGCAAGAGAAGGGGCATTGCCTAGGAGGACAGGAGAGTAAGTGAAAGGAGTAGTAAGGAAAAAGACCCACGAGGAACAGAGGAACAAAAGCTAAAAGCTATTACGGAGAACATCCATATGAAAGTGGATAGGCTGCTTGTGTGTTCGGGTCAACTACAATTTTTTTTTCTTTAGCTATATAGAGGTTTCTCTAAAGACCCTGGCTGTTGAGTAGTTCCTGAGGCAAAGAAGAGGAGCATCTGTCTGAGATGTTGCCGGGATGCCCTGTCCTGCAGCACAGACCTAGGCAAGGAGGCAAGGTCCCACGTGCATCTGTCCCAGGAGCAAGCGCTATCGCGCTGAAACTAGTTTCCTGCCTCTCTCCTGTGCCGATGCAAGTGTCCCGTAGTCTTACCTAGTGCTTTACTCTTCTCTTTCTCCTATGCAAAGTTGTTGCTGAAACAAAACTGTCAGCTCTGTCAGCTGTGCTGGTGGGTCTCTCGGATTTGATGCCGAAGGTGTTGAAGGGGGAAAGGTACCTCGGAGTCAGGGGTGGGTCTGAAAGCAGCTTTGCTTCTCTGCTGGGATAGATAGGGTGCCTGACCAAGTATCTGTCAAAATTGAGGAGAAAATTTGTCCTTAAGGTACAGAAAGCTAATTCTTTGTGATAGTAGAAAAGTCATCAAGTAGTCACATAGTTGGCTCTGTCTCCTGGGTTCAGGTGATTGCCCCTGCTCCCCAGAGCCATGCTCAGCCTGGGCAGCAAACAGGCCTGTGTTTAGTAATGGGGGGGGGGGGGGGGGGGGTGTTAAGGTCAATGAATCAGGGATGACTTACTGATATGGATAACAGATTACTGTTCCATACTGTTAATACTCCATGTTTTGTATCCTGAAGTTGTGGAAAATATCAGTTTGTTTGTTTGGTTTTTTTTTAAAACTTTTGCAGAGATTGTATTGTGTTGCCAGCAAACAAACTGGCATCTCATGTTTCTGTAACCCCTGAATTTGTTTGTCCTCACCAGAATAACTTCTGTGGTTTGCAGTCTAAATAATCCATGCAAGCCTCTGTGTTCATGGTCCTATCTCATTAGATGGAAGAACATTCTAATTTAAGACTGTTTCCTTGGTGAATCACCTGAGGCTTTCAAAAATGGTGAAGTTAAGCTCTGATTTGCCTGTTGTTTTATCTTAAGACTAAGTGATCTTTCTCTAATGTGACTAGTCAGGAATGTAGCTTCCAGGCATTTATGGTCCTGATGCTGCTCTGGGCTTCACCCAAGCAGCTGTCTCGTGTGTGGTGTTCAGCCTTATCTCTTTATCAAGGGTATTTCATCAGAATGATCTTTTAGCAGCAGAAATGTATCCAGCTAATAACATGCTCAGCGATCCTGACTTCTGGCCCTTAAGTCGGGCTATGAAGCCCCAGCTCCTGTAGTTTTATTCTTCAGTTCCTCTGCTGATAAAACTTGATTTTGGTTCAAGGTGTTCGTGTCAAAGGGTCTGGATCTATTTTGGTTGTCATATTTCCAGACCATATTTTTCATGGCTTTTGTTCTCTAAAGGAAAACCCAGATGTTCTCTAATTTAACCTTTCCTTTGCTTGCAGAAAAAATAAAGGTAAGGCTAGTCAGACTGGGAGCTGTCATGTGCTTGACGTGTGCTTGGCACTTTCTCAAGCTAGGAAGGCAGCCAGCTATGCTTTGAGTAAGTTTGTCTCCCTGTTGCCGAAGCCCACCAGCCCACAGTGCTGTGGGTTGTAACGATGTCCTTGGCTGTAGTTGAAAGTGAGTTTTGCTGCGAGTAGTTAATTCGTCAGCCGTGAGAAGGGATGTTGTACAAGCCGGAGATGGAGGGAAGCCTCTTGGGCTTGTGCTGTTGCCTGGGTGTTAAGGCTAGGGTAAGTAAAACTCTGAGGTTTTCCCCACATTTGTTATTCCTTCTTGTTGTCGGAGTAAGGTAACGCAGGAGACTCTCCCAAATCAAGGCAAACAGCAAAGATGCAGCTGCAGCATCTTTGTGCCTCCATGTGGGGGTAGGGGAGGCAGAGGGATCATGGCATTTTCTGTGCGTTTCGCTGAACCTATACCCGTGCAAACAAGGCACTTTCACATCACGTAAAATTCAGTGTCGGGCAGAAATACCAAGCACTGTTTCCCCCCGCCCTCATCCTGACAAACAAGCAGCTGTCACTTGGGTAATGATGGGCGAGCTGCGGGGTTGGGGTGTGTGCGGTGAAGGACTTCCTTTGTTGCAGAGCTCTGAGGAAAGGAGGAGCCCGGAGGAGGATTTCGCGGTGCCTTTTGTTGCTCAGCTGGCACAAGCTGTTAAATCTTTGTCCGGCGCAGATGACCTGGAAGTCTGCAGCACCCGGTCTAAATAAGAAACCTCAATAAAGAAATAAATGTCTATAAATTTGAGGCAGAAAAAGGCAGATACTTTTATTATGCCTATTCAGGGAATCCAATAAAACAATAAAAGGAACCAGACTCTTTAAGCCTAGAGAAGAGCAATATCCTACTTGGTCCCATCCTTTTGTTCTCACGTGGCGTTGTGCACCAGCAATGAGAAGGAAAGCACTTGGATAGGCCCTAGCACGTGCTGTGTCGTAGGTTGTGGTACGGAGCCTCCTTAGTTTTATTACATACTTTCACGATGGGCTGCAGCTGACTTGGACATCTGAGCAGATGTGCCACTGAGAACTTGCATTAAAAAAAGAAAAAGTTTTGCCTTCTTGAATTTTGCAGAGTTGCTCGGTTCTAGAAGTAGCAGGGGGGTTGTCTTTCATGTACGTTTTAAAAGAAGGAAAAGAAAGGTGCCGGGAGAGTGATACCAAAATAATTTTGGTTTTCTTACTTATTTTTTTCTTTTTAATAATGCAAAACTAACATTTGGCTCTAGTTTGAGAAATATATTATCTCAAGTCTCATGTCGAAAGCTAGGAACAGCCAAAAATGACACTTTTAAATGCCAGCCTGAAGACTTTCTGAGAAAATAAATGAAATAACTGTCCACCATTAAGTGTGCTAAGTGTTTGGGTATGGTTAATGACATTGTTTATACAAGGTTAAAGCCATAAATCATCGGTGTGACTGCTAACAACCCCTTCTCCTCTATTTTTTCGTTAGGTGGCAGTGAAAGTAATTGACAAGAAAAGAGCCAAAAAGGACACCTATGTCACCAAGAATCTGCGACGGGAAGGGCAGATCCAGCAAATGATCCGCCACCCGAATATTGCTCAGCTGCTGGATATATTGGAAACTGAGAACAGCTACTACCTTGTCATGGAGCTGTGCCCTGGTGGCAACTTGATGCATAAGATCTATGAGAAAAAAAGACTTGAGGAGCATGAAGCGCGCAAATATATCCGGCAGCTTATCCTGGCAGTTGAACATCTTCACCGGGCAGGAGTAGTTCACAGGTAATCTTAAAAAACCTCTCCGGTTAAAATTTATCTCAGAGCATCTAAGTGGTATTTTGGCATTTATTTGTATAGTAAGGAGTCTTCCTTATAAAATCTTATTCCTGACAGCTTTTTTGGCTAATCTTCATGATATTGTTTAAATGCTCCTATTGTAGACATTAGAAAGTATCTGCAGAAAGCACTTAAGTAAGCACGCAACTTCAGGTGAGCGCACAGCAGCTGTGCTGACTCCATGTCCTTAAAGATAAGCCTGCGCTTTGCAAAAGTAGGGCTCTGTCCCTGCAAGTTCCACTATTTTGCCTCTTCAGAGCACTGTACCAACATTCACTAATGAATCATTTCACTATTTCTTTGAGGAGGTGGTTGCGTCTGTTGTTTTACTGGTGGAAATACAGCAGTATGGGGAGAAGAACTGATTTGCCCAAAGCCTCACAGAGACACAGCTGGGACAAAGCCTGAATGGAACCACAGAAGTCCCTTGCTTCTGCTCTTCTGCTTTTCCCACTGGTTATATCACCCCAACAGGACCTCACAAGTCTGAATACTGTGAAGTACAATGCAGAGCATGCAACTGTTCAGTTCATCTCACAGTGTTATCTCAGGAGAGATCCAGAGCTGTGGTGATACATCACTTTCTTTCCTTAGGACCTTCATTCAATCAGTGTACAAGCAGGATGTGGCTCTCCTTGCAGGAGGAAGAGATTTACCTGGGCTGAGGGGAAGGAAGACAAGTTCATCAGAGAGAAGTCTGCAGAGAGTTGCTGAATAAGGAGTAGCTGCCTCTGCCTGAAGTCCCTGAGCAGCAAGTGATAGAGGCTAGGAGAGTACAGGTGGAGGTATCACGCGTGATCGCCTGTCCCTGTTCCCTTCCCCGCTTACGTGTTCTTGGCTGCTATGGAGACAGGAGGACAGTGGGCTGGGTGGACCTTTGGTCCGAGCCAGTATGTCTCCTTTTCTTGTCTTAGGTGTATTTATAGGGTGGTGTCTAAGAAGGAGGCTTCGCTTTCTAAATTTGGGCCAACTGGTGCTAAGTCTGGACTCCTACATACTTCCCATATGGTGATGAGCAAGTTGTGTAGGCCTCATCCTCTGAGGTTATGCAGGCACATAGTAGGAGCTAGACACCTGAATACTTCTGAGGATCTGGTTCTTAATTTCCTTGGCTGTGCTGAGTCTGTATGACTCTCTGATGGAGAGCTGTTGTGCACACCCGTCCACAGGGCTGCTGTGCAGGCAGCTGGCAGACTGCCTGAAGGCAGCCAACAGCCAGCTCCTCCAGCTGTGCCCAGCTGCGCGCTGAGCTGCCTACCGCTGTGCAGCACTGTCGGGTGCATCTGGCTTGGTGGAACTCCATGTGCTCTGAAAACTGCTTTTTTTGTCTTGAGTCTGCATGTTCCCTGTGATCTGTTAGGGATAGGTGCTACGTGCACATACAACCTTGGTTGTACTGAGGTCTTATCTCGAGCTAAATTTCTGGTATCAGTGTAGTATAAATATTTGAGCAGCCACCAGGTCTATTCTGCAGGTTCGCTATCAGCAGATAAACTGCTGACCTCTTTAAATTATTAACCCCACAGTTTAGAGCATGGAAAAGGAAGAAGTCTACTTATTGCTTTAAGGGATCAATTGATATCCGGTATATACAGAGAGAGAGGAAGGAAAAAGGTCAAAGTTTATGAGATGGGCAGAGGAAAACCTGGCAGGAACAAGATGAATGCATTTAGCTTTTAACGGCAGTGTTGAGTTCAGCAGCAGTTCCTCTCCCTGAAAAACTGCCCCTCTGCGTAGTGTCTGAAGCACTTATGGGAGGTTGGTGGGTTTGGCTTTGATTCCCTTCTTTTTCAGAGAGGACTCAAACCCACAGTTTGTACCAAAATAGCTCATTCTCTAGGTACAAGCTAGAATTCACAGGCTACTGTGGTGGGAAGAAGGCAAGGCTTTGCGGTCCGGAGAGAATGTGAGCACGAGTTCCCATATGGATGCTGCACTCTTGCAGCAGATGTAGCCCTCACCCCTTCTTTCTCTCTGCTGTCTCTGTGACCATAAGCGCAGCTCACAGAGACTGAAGTGTGAGGGACCTTCGTGAGCGGAGGAAGGAAGCAGCCCTGCAAATACTGACATGCTCTGCTGCATCTGGCAGCTGAGCTCTCTCCGTCCAGCCCCATGGTGTTGGATTAATCCTTACCCCGAAGGCAGCGTACTCCATCCACTCCATTTCTCAAATCACAGCATGGCACAGAGCTCGTTCTTGGGAGTCTTCCATCTGGATAATGAGCAGGTCCAATTCTGCTTAAACTGATAAAATTTGACAGAATCACAGGCAGTATATCGGCAACTATTTTCTTTAGCTTAAGCACTCAATGTCTTGACTTCTTCTGCAAGCGAGGTATGTAGAGCAGTGTAGAGATGCAGGAAAAACACTGGCAGTGTGATCCATATTTATTCTCCTGGCTCTCCGCGAGCAAGAGAGGGAGAAAGAATAATAGTTACCCCAGGAGTTGTCCTTCAGCATCTTGGCATTTGACCGTGGCGACTCTAAAAACAGACTACTCAATCGGCAACTGAAAAGGGGGGAAAAAATAGCGCAGAAATCTGATTCATTCTCACCCTGGATGAAATGGCAATGTTCTGTTGTTGTTATTGTTGTTATTTTTAAAGCAGGTAAAAATAACAGCACTTTCATCTATGTGGTGATCTGTGGGTGTTCGCGTTCACTGCGTGTGGAACAAAACATGGCATCCTAGACCAGAAAATGGTCTGCTGTTTGTCTCTCTCCAAATACTTTCATTGTTCATGTTGAATGGGGCAGGACACTGAAAAGTGTTCACTGACTTATTTTATTACCAGCGTTTTTGTCTGCGTTATTCAGGGAGTAATACAGATGACTTGCCCTGTTGTTTAATGCAGGATGAAAAAAAGCCAGATGAAATAAGTCATATGAAATTTGATTACGTTATTTGATGAATATTACTTGGTAAGCTTCATGACTTACAATCAAGACTTGGCATGGCAGAAAAGCACTCTGAGCTTTGGACAAGAGCTGGGACCCAGAACTCAATGGAAATGCATCTGTTAAGAGGCACTCGTGCAAACAGCCTAAAACTAAAATACTCCAAGAAACCTCACTTTATTTAGAGAGGTAAAAAAAGCCCAAAACCTCATGTTTGACTGTATAGATGTATTTTAAATTACAAATATTTCATCTCCCACGATGGATGAAGACTGCAAGTTCCTGAGTGCAGAACCTACATCTTTGGTGAGGGGTGTCCAGGGTTCAGAACTCCTTGGCCGCTCGCCGAAAAAAGAAATGCCGCTATTCTAAATATCATTTCATGTAATCATTTGTGTTTCATTCCTTCTATCAGAAGAGCTGGTTGGTTGCTAAAAATATACTTGCAACAAGCTCAGCTGTGAATCAGGTAGGGATATTTATCTTTCCCTCTGACAGAGGAAAACAAACCCAAATGGCAGTATCTGGTGAAGCTTTCTCTTTTCAGAGGGTGTTTACATAGGCCTTCATGCTGTCAAAAAGCCGGATGAACAATAAGCCCCTTGGGAGCGTAAGGACAACAGAGAAAATGAAGTGAAAGCCTTGGTGCTTGCCACTGCATCCCACAGGAAATTCTCAACAACCCTTTTAAAGTAATTTTAACAAAATTCAATTGCATTCAGTGCAATTACTGTCAGGATGTCAAAGAAAAGAATTTAATAATGTATTGGTAGCAAAGATAGCTCTCTGTATTCCCCCTTTTTCCGTCTTCGTGGCAGCATATTCATACCTTCCACTGCCGTTTTGTATTTAAAAGCAGATCAGGAGTTTGAAAGACACAAAAACCCCCTGAGATTTTGCGCGGAGTTTGTATGTTTTCCCATGATCTCTTTCCCAAGCAGAGTAAGGTGGTGCCATATGATCCAGTTGCTCAGGGTGCTACGGGATTCCTGCCTTGGTATCTGCTACTTTGACATGTTAGCTTTGATAACTTCCACCCTATTAATTTTAAGTGGCAATAGTCTGTCTGCTGATGCAATATTTATGACAGATCCTGCACTGCAGCACAAAGTCTCCTTTTGAAGTGCAAAGCTGGTTTGTCTTTCTATTTTATGTCAGATTTCAAAATTACCTTTGGGCATTCTGTCTTGGAGTACTCAGCTGTAAACAAACTAAACATTGTTTTAGTGAAGACAATGGACTGAATTCCTCTTTTGCAGAAGCAACTGCATTGAATTCAGTGATGTCGTGACTGATAAAAGAATCAGAATATAAAGAATATTTTGATAACAAAGCCTATGAAATGTATACTGATGTGATGATGAACCCAAATCTCTGCAACCTTTCCAGCTCACCTCCAGCTCTTACATGGGGCTAGAAAGCAGGCTTGTGGGTTGGTAGTTAAGGACTGATTTTTCATGATGCTGTTATGATTAAAAATAAGATGCTGGAGACAGCAGCCAACCACTGCTGCTTTGCAGCTGCTTGCTGGTAAAACCTTCCTTCTCATCGCTGCTCCCCCAGACAAGAAATAAAATGTAAAATGCAAAAACTTCAATTTTGCTGCCTGATGCCTGCAATGGCACTGAACAAGCTTCTTTCCAAAGCACGCTGAGCCGACAGCGGAAGCCTGGGGTAGCTCACTCAGTGAAGCAGGCTCGTGTTGCTTGGTGGAGTCACCGGCTGCAGTTGGGGTTTCCAAAGTGGTCTCTGAAACTCCGAGCAAAGCCGGAGAAAAATCAGCCCCATCAACAGCAGAACAAACTCCCAAACAAGCAATCCCATGAAGAAGGCGTGATTTCAAATACGGGGAACGATGGCTGTATGCTGCTAGCTTTGCACACTGACAAGGCATAAATATATGCTGATTCTTCATGTTGTAGTAATGCAGCTTGATCTTTCTTGAGTGTCTTCAGTATTAATAAATTTGACTATCGTGTACCATAGTTAAACGTTCTCAACGTCATGGAACTAAGCCCTCAGAAAAAGGTAAACCTTTTTGTTCTTC